TGAAAACATCTCAAAAACCATCATCAACCATCTCTCATTTCGCTCTTGTCCAAGCTTAAACTTCATCTCTGACTGGAATAACTCCCGATCGAGACACTGGAATATTGACGTGTGTGCATACACACATACGAACGAAGCCCAGCCCAAATTATGCAGGCAGGTCTGACTAACTCTTTCTCAGCCGCCTTCGTTCCAGTCTGGAAATCCGCTGGGGAGCCGTGGAAGTGGAACTGGAACTGGGGCCTGAGTCTATAGCGCTAAGCTCTCTCCAGCAAACAACAGTTCGCGCTTAGCCACCGAACCGCTCACATCACGACTGCAGTTCGTTACGTGGTCAACGTTATACACATAAAAAATAAATAATTCCAAAGGTTCCCAGAACAACAAGAAGCCAGAAAATGAGTCACAAAATCGCCGCTGTGTGCCTCCTGATGAGTTGCCTGATTGCCTCTGCTTACAGTGCTGCTAAGGTGAGTTTTTTGGCTAAGGAAAAACCCACTTAAGTTAGTAGGCAAAACCTAATGCATTACACAACAGCAAAGCGTGCCAGGGGCACCGAAACGCCCATTTACCATCTGGGTGAAGACGTGATTTAGCTGAAAAACTAACTAGTGGTAGTAGTGGGTATACGACATAAAATAAACCCATAGAAAAGCTGCACCCTTTTCGTGGCAGCAACAAGTGGCATTTCGAGAGTTTAACGAACTGTGCCACCAGTCGGCTCGGAAAATGCCGCCGTGGAAAAGCATAGAGCATAATTAACATTATAAATAAGCCACAGAGCGCCCTGTTGCTCTGTTGTTATTTTCATTTAGGTCCAAGAACCGGTTCTGAGACCAGTTTCGATTTCTCATAGAGGGAACCGGTGTGAACATAGCCGGCAGCCCAACTGCAACTTCATTCTACACAGAACTTAATTTTTATCAATGCACCTGATCTTGAAAAGGTTTACTAAAACTACAGAAGGATTTACTTTACAACAATATTATCCAATAGAAATATACCAGAGAAATTTTTTTTTAATACATATCATAACATTATATGATGGTGCTAGATATGTACACTAGTTATATTTTAAGGAATCAACATATACTGTTTTCAATTTGTATGCTTTTTAATAAAATATATATTTATAAATATCATGATGACCTATAGTAAAGTAACTAGTATTTTTATCAGGGACTGTAAATAATGACTATTAATTTTTTTTTTAATATAAAAAAGGCCGCTTAGGATTGATATACGCAGAAAAGAAAAATTCCATAATAATTCACTTTTAAAAGTCTTTCCATTTTCATCACGATCTTTAAATTTATGATTTTTATAATATTCATCAAAACTAATAATTATTTTTGAGTTTTATAAGTTTTACTATAATCCCAAAACCTGATCAACTATGTTTAGAAGTAAATATGCTTTTTATCACGTCCCAGAGATTATCTTATTTTTTTCCGTGCACATATGTACATATGGTACAAACATCTCTACTGATGTATGTATAGCTTTGGCCGCTTCTGTTGTTGTTTAGATCGAGAAGAATGGCGGGTTCTTTCAGCGATGTGTCATTAGGTTTTATATAACTTCAACTCCAGCAAAAAAAGTTTGCATTTCAGTATGTACAATATACACACATTCGTGATTATTATATTTTTTCGTTGGCATTGTTCAAGCATTTGGGCTTTATTCAGTCGTAAAAAAACTATTTGAATAAAATGTAATTTTTCCTGCTGCGATCCCCTCAATTTGTTCAGTTTTATCTATACACAGCTTTAATTTGGGGTTAAATAATCAACTGAAATTACATTAAACGAATGTCATCTGTTTGTACTTACACCAATAAATAATCATTTGTGTTAGAAGCACGTAACTTTGAAATGTAAGCATTTAATGATGTGAGGAATAAAAGCTTAGTAAAAATACTATAAATACATCGATTGATCAATAGTAGAATTAAAGCTGAGATCAGCATTGTTTGCCTGCCTTGGGGATTTTGATTAATATACATTTCGACACTTGGGAATTGGTGTTCAATTGGGGGAGTATACACAAGATATCAAAGCACATGTCCAAACCAAATGTACACATAAGTATACATATGTGTCATGAGTGGAATAATAAATTAGAATTAAAATATATGCGAAGCACTGAAAATTTTATGAGATTAATATAATTTATAGTGCAGTTAGTGCAAATTATTTATATTTCGATTCCAAACATATACTATTAAATAAAAAATACTTGTAAAAATTAGTGTATGTATTTGCTGATTCATATTGATTTCCCCAAAAGTACATAGTATTAAGTCAGCATTTCACCCCATATTATTCTTCTTATCTACAACATTCATATGCTCGCCGGTTCAAGTTCAACAATATTTTGGCTTGTTGAATGGAGCATGTGCCAATTGTCCCCAATTGATAAACAAAGACTAAACATATTTGGACCCTGTCCATTCAGCCACATGTGATTTGCATGGCTCAGCTTGGCTGCACTCTCGAAAAATGCAAATTCGAAAATTCAACCCCAACCGAAATTGAAATGAGTGCACTCAATTCACTGAGAGAAAAAATATTCAGTTAAAGTGTATTGGCACTGACAATGTTTTCTTTTACTTAAATAAAATACAAAAGGGTATTATTACGAATTTCAAAGTTGAATAATATGGTACATTTAAGATACTTTTGAATGACAATTAATATAATTTTGTTTAGGATATTATGATGATATATTTTTAAAGTTTAAAATATATATTTTTTAATTTACCATACCTTTTTGCACTTTGAAGGTGCCCATTGCCGTCTACTACGAGTCTCTGTGTCCGGACAGTGCCAAGTTCATTACGGAGCAGCTTTACCCGGCGGTCAAGGGAGAGCTGCGCGATGTGGTGGACCTCACCTTCGTGCCGTTCGGAAAGTCTCAGGTGAGTGGCCCTTAGCCCCGTTTGTCGGCAGGACAATGGCTCATTTGCATGGCTCTTTTCCCCGCTCCCCGCTCCACAGTTCACCACCCAGGGCGCCGAGGTGACGTTCACCTGCCACCACGGCCCCAACGAGTGCTATGGCAACAAGGTGCATGCCTGCGCCATCGAGCACATCCAGGCCAACTCCTACCAGGTGGAGTTCACCCGCGAGTCCCTCACCATCGATTTCATCAACTGCCTGATGAAGGCCGGCAAGAACTTCCCGGACAACGTCTATCCAGGCCAGCGTTGTGCCTCAGAGAACCACATCAACAACTGGGAGAACATCAAGACCTGCGCCAACTCCACCGAGGGCAGCGTCCTTCTCAAGAAGGCCGGCGAGGCCACCAACCGCCTCAAGGAACCATTGACCAGCGTACCCACCATCTTGTTCAACGAGGTCAGTAATTGATAGTATATCAAATATAAGAATATGATTTGGAAATATTCCTTAAAACCTATTGAAAGAGCTAAGCTCTCTTATCAGTTTAAGGTATTTATACCTTAAATTCGATACAGAATGGAATTTTTCATTAATGTAACAACATGTCCAATCTATTTACTATTTCTTAAACTCACTTTCATATTATTGGGAATTATACGAATTGTTTTTACCATTTAAAATATTTACTATTTTCCTAAATTCACTTTCATGATATATGAATTATATAATTTGTATTTACCTACTATTATTGTAAAATTGATTAGGATGGTTTTAAAACTTTAAACATTATATTTTATAGATACTTTCTAAAGATAGTTTCCCAATCCCACGTTTCATAATTTCACTATGCAAGATAGCGCATTAAATTATATTTCCATGAGATACATCCTAAAAGGGAACCCTATTCAACAAATAAATTGAGAAATGTTAAGATATGAAGATTTTTTACTCAAGGCACTAAATATTTTTAAATAATTTGTTTGTTTTTCCATTTGCAGCAATTCGACAAGAACGTTAACGAGCGCGCCCAGGTGAACTTCGTGGGCACCATCTGCAAATACGTATCCGCCCCGCAGCCCCGCATCTGCAACGCGCACAACGGAGCCTCCACCCCCTCCCTGGCCAGCGTAAGCGCCATCCTTAGCTCCCTGCTGGGTCTTTGGTTTCTACGCCTCTTCTGCTAGGCCAAGCTAGGCTCAACCCTTAACTGTCTCTGATTTCCCCAACACACAACTCTTCCAACTCAGCTCAGACCTCTGGCCAAATCGGGAATCTCAATCTCTACATTTAATGCTATGCCTTACTCTTGAATTTTTTGTTGGTTTGTTTTTAGGCCAACTGAATCGCAAGCCGTCCAATTATGCAGCTCGATATGTGTATCAGAAATGAAATTAGTTTTGCAAGAGCCGATCTAAATGTAACAACTTAATAAATTTAAAATAAAACAAGAAACTTACGGCATTTGGGTTCTTTTTTAATTGATAATTTAAATTTTCAAGCTTACAGGTAATAATACACTTTAATTTAATCATTAAATTTTAATGCTTATAAAGGTTCATATACTTACCTTTATTTTCCACCATTTCTAACAATGTACCGGGCATAGGGAATAGCTCTTCTCAACCTCTGCCGACACCCGTACGGCGTACAACACATCGACAAGCTTCTCCGTGCAAACTACTCACCCAAATAAAAGGCAAAATGTCATCGTCATAGACCCATTTTAATATTGTACCGCCGGAAAGTATGCTAAAGTACTGCGGCCCAAAGCTGATTGCCCATTTTTTAACAAAATGATCGTTTAGATCAGTTAGACCATCACAAACACTCAAAAAAGTTTTTAAAATGAATTTGATAAATTTGGAAGCAATGGCGATTTTTTTATAAATATAACTAAATATCTACTTCCAATAAAAAATGTATTGCTTCTATCAATTTACTAAATGATATAGTTTTGATAAATATAAAAAATTGGTCGCCATTATTTCTAAAATTAAAGACGTTTTCTTGTTGAGTGTTAGTAAAGTAAAATCATGAAAAAATCGATTGGCTTATTATGATTATATTCTTTTCATTTTATTTATTTAATTGCTTGTGTGGATCAAAAAGTGAAAGGGCAAGTGCTGTTTACTTCTTCAGGAAGGAGCTGACGACGGCTGGAGCAGAGTAGGTGGTGATGGGGGCGGCGAAGGCGTGGCCAGCGGCGTAGGTGGCAACCGGAGCGGAATAGGCCAAGGGAGACCTGTAGGCGGTATAGGCGGGAGCGACAGCGGCGTAGGTGGAGTAGCCAGGAGCGGCGTAGGTGGAGTAGCCAGGAGCAGCATAGGTGGAGTATCCAGGAGCGGCGTAGGCCACGGGAGCGGCGGCGGAGTAGGTGGCGGCATAGGCCGGAGCAGCGGCATAAGTGGCCACTGGGGATGTGAGGTAACCAGCCTGGGCGGCGGCGATGCAGAGAGCCAAGCAGATGAGGAACTTCATGGTGATTTGGTTGTTTGGGTTGGATGTCTTGTCAGTGACTGATGCTGTTTGCCCTTTTCGACAGCCGTTTTATAGGCATGGGTTTGCAAACGCAAAATCTTAATTAGAACACAATTGTCAATGAAATCATTTTTCTGCTGACTAACGTTCAATGAATGTTTGTCGTTTATTACCAACGGACGGCGTTTCAAATGGTTCACCCATTATATTTCTATATGTTCTCAACTGTGGCTTAAAAAATTTCTTTCTCATAAATTAGATGCTGGTTAAACGATAAGCTCAGTATTTATTTATTAAAGTTAGGCTTTAATAATTGTTAGCATCAGAGAGGATTATAAATAAATGATGTCTTTGCATCTTTAAATAATGTTATTACAACACAAAGTTATGATTTTGCTAAGCTAATTATTTATTTTTATATGGCAATCTACATTGGAATATCAATAACATTTTGACAAGTACATTAGCCAATCGTTTTTTTAATAGTTAGGACTTGAACATATAATGTCCAAAGCAGATAAGTAGCTGCCACCTACTCAAGCGAAAACTGGAAAAGATTAATCCATTTGACACGCGGCTGGTTGGTAATACCCAAAGTGCGGCTTCCGCGTTCAACGAACATTACGCGCCAGAAATCTCGAAGCGGACGCAATTGTGTTCTAATTAGGCTACTCAGATTCGGAAACCAGTTTGGCATATTGGCGACAATTGTCCTATAAAATGGTCCAACATTTTGGCAAACAGCATCAGTCACTGACAAGACAACCAACCCAAACAACCAAATCACCATGAAGTTCCTCATCTGCTTGGCTCTCTGCATCGCCGCCGCCCAGGCTAGTTACCTCGCATCCCCAGTGGCCACTTATGCCGCTGCTCCGGCCTATGCCGCCACCTACTCCGCTGCTCCTGTGGCCTACGCCGCTCCAGTGACCACCTATACTGCTCCTGGTTACTCCACCTACGCCGCTGTGGCTCCCGCCTATGCCGCCTACAGGGCTCCCTTGGCCTATTCCGCTCCGGTGGCCACCTACGCCGCTGGCCACGCCTTCGTCGCCCCCATCACCACGTACTCCGCACCAGCCGTCGTCAGCTCCTTCCTGAAGAAGAAGTAAACAGGACTATCCAGCAATACTCAACGACCTCCTAAACGATTTGAAAAAATGTTATCATTTAAATGAAATATAAAACAAAAAATTGAGGTAGTGCGATTTTATCTGGGAGGGAGCTCTTAATTGTTTATTAACATATAATCTTATCCTTATTGCCGGAAATTTAAATTGTACATAGAGTGATACATTCAAGTACAGTGTTCTTGAATTAAGATCAATCGTTCCTAAAAACCGTGGAAGTACATTTTTGTTTCAATGGTCTCAATATTAACACGAAATGGCGAGAAGAATAAAGTTAAAATGAGTTTACTTAACAATTTTTTGATAAGAATACACTACTGACTGGACTTGTAATTTATTTGTTGGGATATACAATGTAAATACCGCAAATTTAAATTGATTCGAGAAAAAAAGATACCATTTTCAACTTTAAAAATGTCGTTCTATTTGTAAGAACATTTTTAACTCAGACGAGAAAGTCACAATTTTCTCTGTGTACAATTTATAGCGTTTGTCACAGAGGACAAGTTACTTTATGAAAAGGATGTTTAAATAATTTATAGGTACAATTTTAGATTGACTTAAGGTATAGTTAACAACTAAAGCTATATTTAGTGTAATTTTTTATAATTATATGCTTACTTTCATTGACTTATCAAAATGAATCTGAATTTATTTGTTTACTCACGGAAGGGATTTTTATTTATTATATCAATATTTATTTTCCTTATCTATGGGCTTTCGTATAACTTCACGATCAAGTTGGTTTAAAGACCCGATTTAAAAGTCGGTCATAGTGATGCTTGCTGATAAGGATTGTGCCTTGTACAGATGACAAATAATCACCATCGTTAAGCAAATTCATCGATTGTGGGACCTCTGCCTCTGTGTTTATTGTCAAATATTTTGATCGCCGGGCGTTCGAGCACCGTCAGCTGCTTATCGGCTAATTTGTTTTTGGTGCACGGCGATAAGCTGCGGGGGAGATGGGCGAGATAGGGGATATTCACTGTAGCAACAGGCTAAACAGTAGCTAAATCGCATTCAAGCGGTCAGATTACACCAGATGGACATGGAATCGGAGGTGGAGGCGGCAATTGTTGTAAACAAGTCATTGGCGAATCAATTTGCTCGCGCTGTTGATGTGCAAACACGATTTGATGACCCAGGGGAAAACTTCGAATTTCTGACTGCACCTGAAATCAACAGCCAATCCATATATTAAATGCTGAACCAGGGGATTTTTTGAATAAGTCATGTTAGGAATCTAATCTTGCTTGATATATTAGTTTAGTATTATTTTTTAGCAAAATGCTGAACAACCGAAAAAATAGATTGATTTTTATAAATTGTTTATTTTTATAAATGGTTAAAACAACAAGTTTATCAAGACAATAAAATAACTTCCTAAAAGTTGAAAATACTTAGTTTACCATTATTTGTGGTAAAAGGTTTTTAAAAAAAACAGAGAGCCTATTGATTCGAATGCCTTCGTTTGACCATTTGTTTATAAAAATGTTATAGGTAAAATATATAATAAAAAATATTAGTGACCTAATTTTTTAAGTTCAAAATATATAATAGTATGTTTTTTGATTAAAAAATCTTACCTTCAAAATCTATTTTCGATAAAATAAAAAAAGAGTAAAACTAAAACTAAGGCATCCAAAAAATGAAAACGGATTCACTTTTGCAACTTTTGGAAAATTATTTAAACAAAAACTGGGTTGTTTTTGATAACAAAAATCCCTCTCTTAAACTTAAAAATCCTTAAATGTGGCCTTATAGTTTCTTGGGTAAGAGACAACCAATATAAATAAAATTAAAATGCCTGACCAGCTCAAAGAGAATCTGTAAATGCTTCGTTTGGGGACTTGGTCAATTGGATTTGGGCCTAATAAAGTTCTGAGCGGATTTTAGGCAGCTAAGAGTTAGAGGTTAAATGGGTGTTATTGGGAATGTAAGGAGGGTTTAGGGTCCAAATAGCGATTTTGGCAACTACGTCAGCAGGCACTCTTGACTGCCAATGATGGGAACTCATATTCATTCATATCCGCTGGCTTCGGCGATGTCGAGCAAATAAATCTGAGCGCGCTGCTAATTTGACGTTCCCCGAAGCGACCTTACCGCCCCCTTTACCACCCCCCTTTCTCTTTTCCCCTTTCACTGCTCGACCTTTGGCACCCACGCACAAAGTGAAATTTCGAGCAACCAAAAATATCGCTGCATACTTCTGAGCGAATGTGCTTCGGGTACCGCTCGGCTTTTTGCTCGCCTCTGATTGGCTGGCTGTTCTTTGGCTCACACATACACTGATAGACTCACCCACACATACACAACGACACCCACACACGTACAGGGCTGGGAGCCAATATTGCAGCTATAAAGCTGGCCGACTTTCCTTTGGCAGCCCCAAAAGAACTCCGGCTTGCAATCGAACAGCATCAAAGCGACAGCCCAGCGAATTTATCTGGCAAGGCGAGGACGAGGACCAGGACGAAAGACAAGGATTTGTTTCGTACAGCAGCCCACCAGTCAAGTGCAAGTAAGTGCCGCCCGAGTTGGCCAAAAAGTGTCAAAAACTTTGTGTGGATGTCGTAAAATTCACTTCAAAACACTGGTGCACAAAGACTGAGATTTAGTTTCGTTAGAAAATCTGATAATATTTTTGAAACTGTTCTGAAGTGTTTCTGCTAAAAATTAAAAAAAAGAAGTCAAAAGATATAATAACCAATGATTATAATAATATAATTAATCCAACAATTATAATATCCTGCCTGAAAATATGGTTATACAACTTATATGACGTTTTGACGTTAAATAAATATACATTTTACCTTGGAAAAAGTGTCTAACTAAGATAAAGGATTATGAAGAATTTAAGGATTATAAAGTGAATTTTAATTTTCTAATTAATCCAAATATTATAATATCCTTCCTGACAATATGTTTATAGTAATTTTTTGACGTTTCTTCTTGTAACTAAACACTAAGACTAATTTGAAATAAATTTATATTTTACCTTGGAAAAAGTATCTACTTAAGATAAAGGTCTATTAAGAATTTAAGGATTTTAAAGTGACTTAATCAGAAATAGTAAAACTCTCAATTGCTATTTCATAAAATAAAGTCACTTTATATATAACAATTTAAAAATTTCTAGGTAATAACTCCAGGTACACTTAGTATAACCGCTCCATCTCCTTTACATTTGTTGACTTTAATTGTTAGCCACTTGCCTTGGTCAACTAATTTCCAAATGCCCCATGGTACGGTTTTGACTTTGCCCACTTTTGTTTATTTGTCTACTATAATTGAATAAAATTAGATTTTGGAGTCATAATTATGTCGATTACCGTACCTTCAGTACCTACAGGGCCTTGCTGCTTCCGTATCCGCTTTGATTTATTTTTAATAACTTCCACGTAAATGCTTCTGGCTAGACCCAAGAAGAAACTTTAAACGTGTGCTAAAAATCTCTGAGTAAATGATATTAAAACTCAAGAGCTTCCTTTAAGCAGCTGTATAAACCATGCATTATCCTAAGCGGAGAAAAACAGGGGGATGAACATTTTCAGACAACTTGTTGCTGTTGAAAATCAGAACTTGGCAACTTTTAACTGGATTTAAGCGTTTCCCTTTCCCAGGCGAGCATTTTCATTTGGAGATAAAATATGATTCCCATTGGGAACAAAATCATGCTGAAAGATATTGTCATAAAGAGCTTAGGGAAATCGTAAGCATCAAGAGAATAATACAAAAATCATAAACATAAATCATAATCTTAAGCAAATATTTTTTGCCGGTAAAACTCTAAGTATTTTCTAACTTCAAAGGGAAACATTTCATTTAACAAAAAATATATATGAATATTTTATCATATTACACAATTCACATATAAGGATATAATTTAAATATACCCTATTCAACATTCAATCTACAACAAACTCAACTTTCCGCGAGACGACTGTTTTCAACTTTTAACTTAGCTGCCGACTTTGCCAGACCGCGGAAAACAGCTCAAACTCTTGACCTGACTTTAATTTGATTTTCCCGGCCCCCTTTCCACTCGAGTTATTAAACTTAATCTATTGGCCGATTGTTCGGAATCTCCTTATCGCGGTGAGAACAATCTGATCTGATCCGATTTGAAGCGATTTGTGGCAAAGGCACGCTTTCATTGGATGACCTGGTTCGCAGCTGTTTGTTTTTGTCTTTGCGAGGATTATCAGCCTGTGATTAGAGAATTTCACACGGAAACCGATCGGTCGGCAGCTTGTGAACATTGCATTAGCTAGGGTACTTAAAAAATTTTCTCAATTTATAGAAAATAATTCAAAAAAAAAATTCTTAAATTGAAAGATGAACAGAAATGTATAAATGGCTATCAAATTTTAAGTTACTTATATAACCTTTTAAAACTTAGAAACCAAATACGATTTATTAAAAATGTTTCAAGCAGATAATCTTCATGTAAATATTTTAAATATTTTCTTAGCTATCAGCTTAGTTCTCCAAGTGTAAACTAGAATATTAGAGGGAACACCAGCACCTGTGGAAAGTTTTCGCAGCTCGCGATTTACGATCCTCGGGACGGGTATTAGTGACAGAGTTGTGGCAGCAACAGCTCATTAAGGCCTTATTATCACAACTAAATAGCTGGGAAAATTGATAAGCCCAAGGGTCGAGTGTTGGCACGGCCCTGCGCCTTGGTAAACAATTATTATATGTATTTTTTTCGTGTAATGAGAATGCTGTTATTGTTTTCGCACTGCGTGGGCCGCCGCTGCATTTATTGTGTTGATTTTTACTGCCCTGCCAGTAGCGCTCTACATATTAATTTTCACTTATCGGCCGGTCGTAAATTTAGCCCGACCAGTGACTGAAAATAGTCCAAAGACCTGAGGGGTGGAAATGGGAAATGGAAAAGTGTGGGCGTAAGTACGCGTGACACGGATTGATTGGAGATTACGGGCAAGATCGCCGTTTATCAGCGGGTCGAGATTTCGCTGTGGCATATAGACCCGGCAACTTTGCGGATCGGCCTCAGTCGCTGGCGCGAGCTTGAAAATGTGAAATCGCGCTCAGGGATTCGCCGGGTGGAATTGCCATATTGAACGAGAATTGGCAAAAACATCCGCCCCAACCATATCTGTGATTATATAGTGACCATCTAACTCAAAAAAAAAATTAATTAAATCTAAAACTGATAGTCCCTGTAACAAACGAGAAACAAAGAAAACTGCCGTATAAATTGCACAAAGCCCAGATCAGCTAATCAGTCTGATTAAGGTGAGTTACTCAAACTGCGGTTAAGGGCGACACGCGACCAGGTTCGGTTTTGAATAATAAAATACATAAGGCTCACACGGCGTATGATTGATGGGTGTTCCTACCATCAGCTGTTATTTCTCTGAACGTCTTACAACAATATAATACTATTTAAATTAAATTATTTGTTTCTTTGTTTAATTTGTCATTATGTTGCATGCAACCATGTTCGTTATTTTTTAACATACTTAATTGCGAACACATGGCGTATGATTGATGTGATGAAGGAGCATCAGCTGTTGCCAAATTTTAATCGGTTTAATTTCGCTTTTAAACTTAAACAGAAACTCGAATTTCAAGGAATATTCATGCAGATCCCAGCCAATTAAACAATGTATCTTTTATCTATGAATAATCTATGTATGATGTCCGCAAGATGATGAACACATAGAAAATTCAAAGCACGTAATAAACAAATCTATGCGGAAATTCCACCTTTTAGCCCTCAAGTCACATACCCACATCCTGGCTAATTGTCTTTATGTGTTGTGTGGGCATTACATAAATCAAAGTTCTAAAGTTTTTGCGGCCCAGGATTAGCTTCTTAACTGCAGGTGGTCTCTCGCATTCGGAATCGATTTCAACTCGCTCGCCGCGCTGTGTTCGGATTTCCTAATTAGTGTAGAGGGCCCCTCGGGGAAAAGCCACAATGTCATTGCCAGAAATCCAGACTCAGACTTCAACAGGTGCTCATCCCCTTGTTTTTGCTTTGATTTCTTGCAGGTATCATGAAATCCACCATTTCTTTGCTACTGGTCGTCATCTGTACCGTGGTCCTAGCCGCGCAACAGAGCCAAGCGAAAAGTGAGTACACCTGTACCAATTTACTAGACTAAAGCTATTTAATTTAGTAGTTTTAGGAATTTTTCAGACATGTTAAATTAAGAATTATTGTGCTTTCTATAGCGTGTTGTCAAAAAAATATTACAAAAATCTGGAGACTTTAATTAGACTTTAAAAGGCTTATTGTCAAGGAAATATTTTCAAAAATCTGTAGACATTTTGTCTGTTTTTAAAACATTTAAAAATTATTACATAGCTTAAAAAAAAATAATAAAAAATTAAAAGGTGTTTGAATGAAATCCAAACATCTTGACTGAATTCGATCACAATATTTAATAATGAAAAATTAAAGGAACTTGTTTATACATATTTTGTTTTATTTTATGCAGTTGTCAGGATAAAGTTCATTAAAAACTATAGTTTTTTGGATAATTTAACCATGTTAGATATTATTTTACATTATTATATTTACTAATTTATAAGGTATATTTTTGTTGCATACGCTACTCATGTTAAGTGCTATTTTACATTATAAGCTTTTAAATATTACCTGATTTCGCTGGTAAGCCCGCCCTTAAAGCCGGCAGGTAACTTTATGCAGGTGAACTTTGAACATGATATATTCATTATATGGGAGAGCGAAAAACAAAGCCATAAATGGGCGTCGAAAGGGTGACTCGATATCCGAACACCCGCCCATCGAGGCAGCATCAATTGTTGCAGTTTAATGCAACGCAAACAAACTGGCTTCTATGTTTTTCCAGCTGTGGGAACGTCAAATAGCAACAACAAGGGGAAAATTGGAAGCTATTTCCACTTCCCAAGTAAGTTGCAACTATCAAGACACACGAGCCATGTACGACAACATTTTCCTTGAAATTATTAATGGTCAATGTCAAGTCACTCGGGAAACGGTGCCTTTAAGTCATCCGCTTTCATCCAAAACCCATCTAATTTCCCATTTACTTTATTACCAAAAGTTTTTGATTCGATTGCCTTTGAAACGGCATTTAAGATTTTGGCAAGGCTAACATATTTAGAGCTCCCTAAGCGATTACTTGGGCAATATTGTGAGGCGGGTAAACAAGGAAGTCAGAGATACCCAATAAACGTAAAAAAAGGCCAAAGGGCCAAATTTAATATAAACATGTGTATTTAATTTCGACTTTTTATTAAAATAATATTTATTTTTGATAAACCGTTTAGGCACTAAAAAAAATAATTAAATGTATGTGTACCATTTATCTTTATCCATTAAAAATGCAAAATGTGGTTTATCTTGTAGGTATATCTTGTGTAGACTAATTTCACTTTTGTAGTTAGCAAATTTAAAATATGACAACTATCATGACTAGGAGGAACTAAAATTCTAAAGGGTTCTTTTAAGCAACCAAAGTTTTTGAGATTACAGAAACTCATCAGCTAAGCAAAGTCCTGCCGGAAAGTCCCCACCTCCATTTAAATCCTGCGTGTGTCAAGGACAACTCCCAAGTGTGCAACAGGAAAATTTATGTTGCCCGTGTGGGCGGAAATTCAAAAACAGTAGAAAGTCAAAAGTTTGTTCACACACAGCCTGGCGAGCAAACAAAATGAAACTGAACCGTCATGGGGTCAAATGGTTATCGCCGGATGTCTCTCTTGAGCTTTGGGCGAGCGATTAAAGATTTTTGGCAGTAAAGAAATCCACATGAGGAGTCTATCTCCCAGTAATGGGAAAAAAATTCAGGGTGGATGTGGGTGCGTTCAGAAATGCACACGCAGGGTCACAAAGTTAAAGTGATAAGGGGGTCCCCAATATCGATTAAGTACCAGGACAGTGATATTTCCTATTTTTAGGCATTTTATGGCTGGTAATAGATAGTTGATGATGGCCAATTAAATAGGTGCTTATAGTTAATTTAGGAAATAAAATTAAATTGCTGTTGCTTGCAAATAAATGTAAACAAAAATTATAATTTATGTAGTAAACTGTAATTTAGATACTGTTAAACAATAAATATTTTAAACTTATTAAATCATTAAAAGCGTACAAACAACAATTTGAAATAGTGTTAGTAGATATTGTTTATTTATTTTGTTATAACATATGTTTTTTATTTTTAATTTATCCTCTTTAAGAGCTCTTACTTTAGGAAATCTCTGCTTGACTAATTCATTTTTCAATATTTTTGCAGAGGGATGCCAGGCCTACGGACATGTTTGCTACGGAGGTCATGGCAAGCGCTCCCTGAGCACCGGATCCGGGTCCGGAACGGGAGTGGGAATGGGTGAGACAGCCTCCGGGGGGCAGGAGCAGGACTATGTGCGTCCAAATGGCCTGCTGCCCATGATGGCGCCGAACGAACAGGTTGCGGTGCCGCCCGAGGGCGACTTTAATGACTATCCCGCCCGTCAGGTGCTCTACAAAATCATGAGATCATGGGTAAGTGCCTTTCATTTTGTACACTTAATTTACCAACATTTAAAATGAAATATGTAGGAGCCTTTAAAATCGTATCATAAATTAAAAAGTATTAATACCACATTTAATACACAACTAAAATTAAAATAAAATGTATACATTTAAGTTAGGATTTCTTATATGATGTTTAGTTATTAATAGAGTTATTTTTCACTTCAGTTCAATCGACCACGACGACCGACTGCTCGACTGGGTGAACTGGATTATCCCTTGGCCAATTCCGCCGAAATTAATGCACTGAACTAAGACGTGAAAAAATATCCAAATTCACATATCCACAATCTACAGCGAAAATAACAACTAGAACTAACCTCAAAAACGAGAGCAACAACAACAGCAGCATCAACAGCAACAACAACACATGAATTACTTATGAATGTTAATTACTTTCGCAAATTGTATAAAATGTTTGATAAATGTCTACACATACCAAGCAGTCAATTTTCCTACCAATGGTATAAACATTCAATATGAGAAAAAATCAACTGAAATTTTTAGGGGCTGGTAAGGATTTCAGTGTCAAAAAAAAAGAACAGACCACGAAGAATAAATCGAAGAAAACGGCAAAGACAGCGTGTTTCAATGTTTATATACAAAATACATTTATTTTATTTATTTTTATTTACGAGGAAAGCGAAAGACTATATGTAGTTGTAATTTTACTTTAAATAAAAAATATATATTAGCTCCAAGAAAAACTTGAAACCATCTACCATCAACCATGGGAAAACTTTGTAAAATGTGTATGTTAAACGTTATATGTGTATATTTATATTATGGCAGCGCAACACAAACAAATTGTACACAACAGTTTTATTTATAACGAGATGCTTGTTTAAATAAATAAGATAATGTGCTATAAAAGCAAGAAACGTATGATTGGCTTTTGTATCTTTGCATTTTTGGTTTTATTTTAGAGATTTCGGAGAGATATCATATCATATATTTTAAATATATTATTGTGTTGTGTTGAGCAGCACTTTAACACACGCATTTTAAATGTAATCAGTTCCCAATTTTTCTATATAATTTTACTAATTTATTCTAATCTGCCTGACAAATGTAGTAGTATTTTTTTTCACATTTGTTGTCGTACATATGTTCAGCATAGAGGTCAACGCAGTGTTTATTATTATTTAAATTATTTGGCTCAGTCGAAGCCCATTTCAAATAGGGGGTAATCTCGTCGGAGATTGAATACACGAATCTGTCCTCTTCAGCAAGGTCGTTGATGTCCAGCCAGTAGTGTTCCATATGTTTTCGTTTTGAGTGTCGCTTAATGGCTGTCAGCTCCTTGTCGTCCTGAATTCTTGCCAGGACCCCGCCCAACTGGCGACAAGTTTTGGCTGCAGCCCACCAATTCTTCTGGTAGAATTCCTCGATGTAGAAGTTCCTCGAGCCGATCTTTTCGAAATTCTTCGGGATATCCTTCTTTATGGGCTCTAGCTGAGATGCCATTTGATTGGCCTCGCAAGTCTTCCACCGATTTTCAAACTCATAGACACGATCCAGCAACGGTTGCAATAAAGTTATGCAGCGATCGGGTCCCCATTCTCAAATGTCAATTCTATTTGAAAAGATTCCACTAGGACAATTGGCAAAAAGTAAGCACAATAAAATAGTTGAGTACTTCAACATTTTTTGTATGAGTAGCGACTGAATTGAAACGGAATTTTATAATTTCGGTTTACCTACACAATCTGCGACCTCAAACATTTCAATCCGAACTTTGTAGCAGCTGATTAGATTTTATTTCCAAAAAAATAATTGGCGATTGTGAAGATGGATTAAAAGTAAAAGATTCACCTTTGTTGAGTTCTAAATTTAAACTGCTTTTAATTTTTTTTAACTTTATTTTATTTTAAGACTTTAAAACTAGAATATGAATACTTATATTTATATTTTGTGAACAGTGCTTAAAATAATGAAATGGGAAAAAAATTGTTTGACCAAAATTTGTACGGAACTTTAAGGCCAGTGCACTGTCAACCAAACATATTAAGAACAAGATAATATTTTTTGGGCGATATTTGCATATCGCTATATAAGCTCAGATATATTCCCATTCTTAAAATATATACTCACTCGACACTAATTGGTCCTTTACACTTTACCTTAATTTACAGCCAAAGCAAGAAGTTCACAAAAAGCCTCGCAAGAAGCCACCAAGGAAGGAAGCCTCCCAAAGAGCTTCGCTACGAGCCTTGCAACGAGCCTCGCACTGACCCTCGCAATTAGCCTTTTAAAGCACCTCGCAAAGAGCCTCTCAATGAGCCTTGCAATGTCCATCGCAATGAACCTCGCAATGACCATATCAATGAGTCTCGAAATAAGCACCTCGCAAGAGTTTCTTAATGAACATCGAAACGAGGAGCCTCGCAAAGAGCCTTGCAATGTCCATCGCTATCAGCCTTGCAATGAGCCTCGCAATAAGTACCTCGCAAGGACCCTCGCAAAGAGCCTCGCAATGACCTCGCACTATAATGACCACAAATCGTAAGAGTCTGTGACGACTACAAGTTTAAAGCTTATGCACTTTAGAAATTTTAACCTTGGTTAACAATTTCGGTGTGAACGTAAAATATTCCCAAAGTATTAAACTCTTATCAACTTGGCATTGGTGGGTTAAACTGAAATGGTCCAATAAAAAATACTTTGGGTATACAATGTGTCATTGGTGTTTTGCCATTTTCATGTCAAAAACTGCGAATTCTCCCAAATTTTAACTACCCATAATCATAAACAAAATGAAGATTATTAAGCGATTAGAAGCATTCACGGTTATTTGCCGAAAAATCAGAAATAACCATATACCACCCGGCAAGTGATAAGGTTTTGCGAATATGAAACTATATAAGAACTGGGCCAGGTCGTCACAGACCAAAAAGAAAGTCAAAGTGAAAGAGAAATGCAGTTCTTCGAGGGGATCCTTGTTATAGTTTTAGGAATTTTCTGCTATCTCAGTGAATTGGAGGGCCATGGCATGATGTTGAATCCTGCAGGGAGGTCTTCACGCTGGCGTTACGATTCGTCGGCGCCAACAAATTACGATGATAATTCTTTATATTGCGGTGGCTTATGGGTAAGATTGACTCAAGAACGATCCTTAACGACCTTATTTAATGATGCTTCTGATACGCTAGAAACAAACCGAAAATGGTGGAAACTGTGGACTCTGTGGAGATGATTGGAGTCTGGATCAGCCACGCCCCAATGAGCTAGGCGGAAAATATGGCAGTGGAGTGATCGTGAAGAGCTATGCCGGCGTTACCGAGGCAGAAATTAGTGTTAAGATTACAACAAATCATCTGGGATATTTCCGGTTCCACATCTGCAACATAGATGAAAACGGCAGCGAGTCGGAAAATTGTTTCAACCAGTATCCCTTGAATTTTATCGATGGAAACCAGAAATACAGCATCAACACAACCACCGGCGATATCCCAGTAACCGTAAAACTTCCCACTGATCTCAACTGCATTCACTGCGTTTTGCGATGGACCTATACGGCTGGGAATAATTGGGGCGTTTGTGAGGATGGAACCGGGGCCTTGGGATGTGGTGACCAGGAAACCTTTAAAAGCTGCGCCGATATCGGTGTACTGTCCTCGGCGAGAAGTATCATTCAGGAGGTGCCAGTGGAAGTGGCGGAAACAGTATAAAGAGGCATCATCTGCAACATCTTCGTAAATCTCAATCAATTATTTATACGTCTCATAAAATCACCATAGTTAAAATTCATATTTAAGTACAATTTTTATGTCAGAAGTGGAATCAACATGAACGTTTATCTGAATAATTCAATAAATACGCCATATTCCAATAATTATGAATGTATATTTTTCTTTTATTCAATAAATTTATCATCGTATATATTTATTTATACATATATATGTGTGTGTTTCAAGTGTTTGTGTATGTGGATTGTTTGGTAATGACCGTTGTCTTCGAGGTCAAGGGCTACGCACTTCTACCTCAGATGGATCCTACTAATTAAATACTTTCTTCCGAAAGCCCCTGTCTCAGACGTGTTCTTAACGATCGAATAAGATTTGCACATTTCAATATTTAAATATTCTGTACTTGTTTTGGTTTACGCTATCCTGTATATTTTCGTATTTGTATATTGTATTTTAATATTCGTAATTTGTCTTAAGTGTTCCGTGGCTTACAAAATACGTTTCACAATAACTGGCTTAATAGTTAACTTCACAAATAAGTTGTATGTATATATATATATAATCTTTCGTTAATATTTTACAAAGCCTTCAAAAGTCAATTGCAAATAATACTCGGGAAATTTCACTACAAAACTCAAATGTCGCGTGGTAACTTCAGAACGGTGCCATCAATCATTGACTTAAGAATGTTATTTTGCTTTCCGCTTATTGTTTAACAATTAACTAATCAAACCGCAAACAACAGTGCGTAACCTCGATTGCCACTAGAGATGTCATCAATCAGATGAATGTAGGTATAAATTTAGCTCTATATTTTGAGGAGGGTTCAGCTACGATTTAAAATGCCCTCCTCGATTAAAAACTATACAAAAACACACTCTCCCTTTATCGTCAAAATGTGCGAATCGCTCACAACTGAATTACAAGAGTTTTGAACCCTTCCCGGGGTTTCGTTTCTAAATCTCCTCCAATCTTCATTTAAAAGCATTTTAAAATACAGTGGATGCCCTTTGAGAAAAATAGATGTATATTTTTATTTATTAATGTGGGGGAGGAGGCCCTTCGCTTCTCTACCAAATATTTTGTTATAAAAGCACCTTATAAATTTTACACGTACTCGCAATGTTTACTCACTTGCCTCGCTTGTATAAATAGCTAAATAGTTCATCTTTTATTTTTACTTTGTTCAAAAATTGTTTTTAACATTATACAACACTATCTGTATTTTTGGTTTTCTTTCTTTTGTAATACCTGAATTTTAGAATTTTGTATCCGAAACGCCATTTTTTGTTGAGTGTTTGCTGACTGAGTTTGTTTCCATTTTGTTCTCAATCTTGTAATTGCCAAAAGCTGTTCTAGCTTTTCCTGCTAGTTTTCCATTTTCTGTGCTTAATTTTCTTAGTCCGAAATGTTGGTTGCCAAAAATGTTCTTTGTTGTATCATTTATTTGTTTTGTATAAGTTTTCGAACTTGGTACAGGTCAAAAAGTTTGTGTTTCGTCTTCAATTGACCTAATTGACAAACATTTGTTTACTTAGCTTCATTGAGGGTTCGATATTGTAATATTATTGGTTAAACTTTGTCATTGGCACAAGTTTGCTTGCTAAGGGGAGGAGTTGGTCAAAATAAAAAGCAATCTTCTGTGTGTTTCTACTGCAATTAAGTTCACACATTGGTTGGAATTCACTTATAAACTTGGTTTTATTTTTGTTTTTATTTGTATTTTTTAACATTAACACGCTACATTATACGCTCTTTCGCTTTTTATCATATAAAATTTCGTTTGTTCACTAATTAATACAAATAACTAATAGGTAATTAAAACTTATCATCGTAAAGAAACTAATTAAAATATTTTTAAACACGAAACTAATAAAATTATAAAAGACTACGTGAGTTGATTTTAAATTTTACAAATTTGTTAATTTTTTTTTGTATTGTTCTGGTTAATTTGTATAATTGCAGCGTCCAGCAAAAATGGAACTTAATGGAAGCGGTTTTCAATTAATTCACATATTTTACTTGATGATTTTAATTATTGCGTATTTTAAAAGATAGTGATAACTATAATGTGAATATGGTTACTATATTTTTTTGTTACTATTTTTGTGTATTTTGAGTGTATATCTGTAAGTTTTGTTTAATTTTACGAATTGTTTGCAACTGTTGCTCCTTCGGGGAAAAGACATAAAAGATACGTAAAAAATGTGACTGAATTTGGCGGAAGAAAAATTTGACAAAATACTTAAAATTAGAAAGCCACATAATTAAACACATAAATCAGCGACAACATTAAATATTCAACAATTCACAAAGAACATAATTTTGCATATGAATAAAATGCAGTCACATACTTAAAACGTTAATTTAAAACTAAATTTATTTCAACCGAAATGGTAAACAATATTAAATAGTATATTGCAGCAACAGTGGAAGACAGTTAGTTCTCTCATTCTCTCTCTTTTTGTTTACTTTCATTCTTCTGTAATAAATTTTCGATAATTTTCTTTTTGAAGTTTATTTTTCGGTGTGTGTACAATTTAAAAACAGGCTATACTAAAATAATAATAAAAATATATATATATATAAATTATAATTCAATTAGACAACAGTGTAAAAAGCCAATTCAAGGAAATGTACATACAATTTAAAAAGGTTTGTTTTCGCATAAACTTTGAGAACAAAAGCAAACAGTTTAAAAGCATTTTAGATGTGTGCGAGTGGGTGTTAATGTGGGTGTTTTTGGGGGTTTGTTCTCGTTAAAAATTTTATGACTAAATATACAATACAACTACAGTGTTCATTTCAAGTTTCTTACTGTTCGATTTATACAATTCTTTGCTTGTGCTTAATACACTTCAAAATTAATGTGCAATTTAAGTTAAAGCTTAACTCTATTTCCGTAGTTTTTTCTTAGCTCTTCCAATTTGTTAGTTGCAGTTTCTCCTGTAAATTAAAACCTAAGCCTTTACGCGGGGGTTATACAATGTTTCCATTATGTATTTTTTTTATGTTTTCTATGTATGTACTTCATATGTGCTTCAAAAGTTCAAATTTTCATCAAAATTTCTACCTTTTCTCTGTGTTGGTTGCTCCTGATTTATTAAGCTGCTTAATAAATTCATTCGTAATCAGTTTCTCCTCTCTACTCACAAATTACTTTGCTTGTACATATTTTGTATGCCTATTGTAATTAAAAATTTGTAATTTTTTCTATTTTCTCTGTGTAACTTCTCTCGCTATTAGCAGTTATTAATAAAAACTAGTTAACCATGCATCTCATGCATGAACTGTAGCTAAGTGTGAGCTGTTTTTGTATCTCCTTTTTCCTTTTGTGAGTGTGCGCTGCTGCAATTGTTGTTGCTGTCGATTCGTTTACTATCCTTAAGTAATGTTGTCACTTGCAGCAAACAATCCGTTGTGTTTGGTTGTCCTGTTCCCGGCAAAATCCATGTCCTCCTCCTCATACTTGTCCACTCCACTTTACTTGTACTTGGCATCAGATTCAGTGGCTTTGGCGGCGGGTTGAGGCTGCTGCTCAGAGTGCTGTTGTTGGTGACCACCTGACGTTCAATAATATTGAAAAACATCTGTTCAATGTTTTCGTTAGGAAATGGAAATTAAATTAAAATTAAACTCAAGTAAATATGAAACATTAAAGGTTAAAACAAATGAATAGCAAAATTAAAAAGTAATTATTATAAATTTTTGTAATACTGATAAATTGAAAGTAAGCTATAAAACTCAAAATTTTTATATACAATGTTTGTGAATTTAAATAAATTCTACAAATAAGAATGATGAAAAAAATCAACCACAATGATTTTAAAAATATTTAAAATATTTTGAAAATTATCTCAAAAACTCACATAGTTTAGGTTTTTAGAACAATCAAATTTAAAAAATTAAATTTACAAATAAGAATCAAGAAAAAATTAACTATTTTGATTTTTTAAAGCTAAACAAGCTTTAGAAAACTGCCCCAGAAGATTTCGATACACTTTTTGGATGAGGAATGGTAGATACAAGCCTAATGTAAGATTACTTGTGAGCCATTGGCTCAAAATATATGAAACTCGGAGTTCAGATCCATTAGAGTTTGATCTACCATTCCTCATCCAAAACTATCAAAGTCTCTGAACTCTGTTCAGCTATGCCCTTTATAAACTTTGTTTTAAATGTAAGACTCCGTTAAGGATCCTTCTAATTACCTGCCGCACTGGTGGCCTGCACATTCAAGCCGGTGCTACTGGCACTCAATGTGGTCGACGACGAGTTGGAGTCGGACGGCGTGTTGGGACCCGCCGAGTGCGGAGTGCAGGATGCCTGGCCCAGCAGCTTCTGGCGCACCTCTCGTATCTTCAGCTGCAGATCTTGCTTGCGCGGAAAGACATCGATGTGCTTTGTCTGGTGACAGAATGTAACATTATTTCATTTATTTGCGAACTGAAAATGCGGTGGACAACTCACCTGAAAGGCTATGGTGGCCTGGGCAGTGGGGAAGTTACCGTGCTCGGCAAACAGCTGCATGACCAGGTGGCGACGCGTCTCCAACACCTTGCGGTGCCCCTTTTCGCTGGCATCCGACCGAGCGCTTTGCAGCGGTGTCTTTGGCGTCCTGGGCGAGCGGCCCGTTTGGTCAGAGCACTCCAGTTCTGCAAGGCGTTCGTCTTCATTAGGTATTTGAAAATAAAGGTAAAGGTATAAATTCAAACTCCTCAAAAACGTGCCTAATCCTTTGAAGCTTTTACTCAAGATTCAATATTAAAAAACAATTATATTAGATATATAGATTGTAAGTTAACTCACCCTTTAACTCGTTGGTAAAGTCTGGACCAAAAAAACGCTGGGTGGTCGTGGGCGGCGCCGAAGCGGGTTCATCAATGGAATCGTCATCGCACACTGAAAAATTCAGAGAACATAATAATTAAACTTTGCTCTAAACGGTTTAAGGCATTTAACACTTACTTAGTTTCTGAACTGGTGGCGGAGCCGTGTTCTTCTTGCGGTAGTTCGTGCCATAGACGCGCGGCGAAGAGGGCACAGCAATGGCACTGGGCGACTGGCAATCCTCAGGCTGGAATTGCGGCAGGGCCTTGTACTTCTTCTCAAAGTCCACCTGCTTGAGCACACTGCTGTGGATGCATATGCGTTAAAACAAAAATTCCAACAAACAGGGAACCGCGATCCTCTTACTTGTTCATCTCATCGTTCTTCTTTTTGAGGGCCGCTGCCGCTGATCCTGGAGCCGCCTTCATCGGCGACTTGGGCTGCTGATTGAGGTTGCTATTGCTGCTACTGGTGGTCGGCGTCAGAGGCAGTTGCTCATCGCTGTTTGGCGTTGTTGTCGAGGACGTGGGCGTGGGCAGGGCTGAGCTGAGGCTGCTGCTGTTCACATGGCCTATGATCGGCGACGAGCCCTCCATCATTGTGGGCGAGTGCAGCTTTCGGCTAATGTGCTGCCCATTGCTGGTGCCCAGATTAGCTCCAAAGGACACATTGTTCTCCGACTTGGTTTGGGCTGCAAGGAAAATGTTCATGTGTCAAAAGATGTTTCCTTGGGATTGTTGAACAAAACACTTACATAGATTCTTGCGCCGCTGTAAAGGCGCTCGTCCCAATTGGGCAGGCGTGGGAGCCAGGATAAACTGCTGACCATCGGCGTCCATGTCGCTCTCATCGCCGCCACTCGCTGCTGCTGATGAACAACCACCCATTCCTCCCTCCATGCCTCGTTCTGGTGGCGCACTCATGAGATATGTGGCCGACTTGGGTGTGGAGGGCATCGATTTGTACGAGGGGGAACTAGCAGGCGGCTCGGCACTGTGGCTTGGCGTATATCCATGCAGCAGCATCGTGGGCTGGGCACTCACTGGCGGAGGCAATGAAGATAGGCCGTTGTGATTCTTGAAAATGTAGCTTCCTGGCGGAAAACCGTCCAGTTGCAAGTGCTCCAGACTGGGAGTGCCAGGTTGGTGGCGTTGCAGCAAAGGGTACTGCAAAGGCATAAAACCAGGTTATTTAAATGTATTTCAGGGGGAGTTTATTTCTTCTTACCGGATTGCTCATGGCGAAGAACATCTTCGGGCCCTGCGCTGGTCCGCCTCCCATGATCTGGGCGGGCGCCGATGCTGGGGGCGTGGCAATGCTGGCCGCATGGCCCAATCCCATACCCGCCGGCGACGATGGCACACACGCCTGGTGGGCAGCTGCGGAACAAGAGGTGGAATTGGTGGATGAGGAGGGTGTTGTGGTTGAGTTTATCATGACAATGCTAGAACCACTAGTGGCCACAGGAGCAGCAGAGGTGGCTGCTGTGATGGTTAGCTCGTTGGCATTACTACTACTATGATTTGTTGCCGCCGTCGCCTTGGTCAGCACGGTTAGAGTTGCTCCAGATGCCTGACTGGTTACTGTTGCCCCGGCTGACGTAGATGTGGCCGTTGCCGCCGTCAGTATGCGGGCATTGGCCGGCAAGGTTATCTTATTACAGGCATTAATGCTGATAAAGGACACTGGTCGAAGGGTGGCTGCTCCAGAGACGGGTGTTGCTGCCGTGCCAGCCACGTGTTGCTGGTTGTACGCATTGACGTCGGTGATGAGCAACATTGTAGCAGGCTGGGATGTGGCCACCTGCTCTTTGCCCGCCACCTTTGGCTCATCCCGTCTTTCGCCATCCCCTTCATCATCCTCGTCCTCTTCGTCCTGACCGTGCAACGTGTCTAGGACCAGGGCATCGTATAGGATCGCCGCTCGTCCTGTGCCCTTGTGGCTTCCACCCAGTTCGCCTCCTTCTTGCAGCGTCAGCAATTTTCGTATGATTGGCGTGGCATTGTGGTTAGTATTGCATGTTATTGTTGTAGTTGTGGTTGTAGTTGGTTGGTGTTGTGTTGGAAAATTGGAAAATTTATTAGGGGCTTCGTTACTGGCTGGGTTGGAGGAGGAGGAGGATGATGATGATGTTGTGGATGTGACCGTGGCAATCACTGGTGAGCCCTGAACCTTCTGTTTGAAAAACAACGGTGGCGGAGTGTTGTGAGCATGGACATGTGGATGTGGTTGCGTTCGTATGATGGTGAAGTGATTGATGGTGGGTGTGGGCACGCGGGTGATGACCGTTGGCGGTGTCTCTCCGCGACGCTGGTGCAGATGCTTCAGCTGCTGATGCGGGGAGTTCGAGGGCTGCAGCGGCGTCAGGGATCGCACTATGGTGAACTGCTTGCGCTTGATGGGCGTCACTATGGTGGCCACAGGCGGTGGCGTGGGTGTGGGCGTTATAACAGTCTTGGGCATCGCATAGGGCGCAATATCATCGAAACCAGCACTGGCATTCACACTAGCCAGCTCCTGCATGAACTGTTCATCATCCTCGTCATCTTCGTCGTCGTCCTCGTCGTCTTCATCCTCATCCTCGTCTTCCTCTGGCTCTTGGTCATCCAAAATCAGATTATCCTTTTCCTTATTATCCCCCGGCTTGGTACCCTTAGTATTATCTTTCCCATTTGGCTCTTCTTCTACGATCGATTGATTGATTTTTTTTTTTGTTATGGGTGAGGTGACGAAAATGACAGCGCGACAAAGGAACATCAATAGTGGGGAGGTGTATTAGTTGTGTGTGAGAGAGAAAGTGAAAGAAACAGAGAGAAAGATGTTATGCCATGAAGAAAGCTTTCGTTGGAAAAACTTTGCAGATGAGCTTGCGAATGTTAAATGATAAGTGGGGATCGGGAGTGAGGCGATCGATGCAAGTGCTGGGATGGTTCCAATTTTGCTGTCGCCAATTCAGTTTTTGGCACAAAAGTTCAAAACACTACGTAAACAAAATCATATGACGTCAACAAATCATAGTAGAAATAATGCCAACTGCAGCTAACACTAAATAAGGTTACAACTAAGAATTATAATATACTTAGAAATAAAAATATGTTTGAAATACGCTGATACAAAATAAAATAGGGCAATTTCAAATCCATTCTTGACTATACTCACCCCTTAGGTCCGTGGGACTGCGATGGGGATGGTGCATGGGGTAGTGGAACTGCTTCTGACTCAAAGCCGTCGCCGTTGGCACATTGAAGTTGAAGATGGCACCGACGCTGCCGCTGCTGGGCGGCGGAGCACTGACCACGCCCCCTCCGGCGGCTGATCCCGAGCCTCCGTTCAGCTTGTACGGCGATGGCGGCTCCTGCTTGATGTCCTCCTGCTTGATATGTGGCTGCAGGGAGGCAGCGTCCTCCGGCTTGCCACCGCTGCCCTTGGGGCTAATGGGCATCGACTTGAAGGCGCCGCCTGAGGGATCAGAATTTATGGGGAATCCTTCGATTAGCATGGAATGTCGTGGTGGAAATAAGCGGGGGTTTGCTCGCCTGTGGGTTGGAATGGTGTTACACCGATTGGATTCTTGGGACTAGTGTACTGCGTGTAGATGGACATCTGGGTGTATGGCAGCATGTTGCTCTCCAGAACCGGATGGGCCTTGATGGCCTTCGGTTTGAGTGTGATCTCGCGCTCTCCTCCGCTGAGCGGCGGTGCGTTCATGGCCTGGCCATTGGCACCGGACGTACTGTGCTCCTCCGCCGAACGCTGAAAAATAACGATGTTTAAGATAGGGTTCAGCTTCATAATTCATTTGTATAATCACCTGACTCGCCTCTGGCTGCTGCTTGCGGTAGTCAAAGGGTGCGTCGTCCATGTCCGAATCATTCACCCGCTCGCGGCAGTGTAGATCGAGTTTCTTGGCGGGCTGTTGCGGCTGCTCCTCCTCCACCACCAGCATCTGCTCGTCCTCGTCGGAGGGCAGCTCGTTCTTCATCAGCTTGCCGTTGCCGCTGGCCTTCATCGAGATCGTAGTTGGTGCCTCGTCGCAGGTGCTATTATAGTTGTCGATCGTCAGCGGTATGATGTCGCCCTGCAGATCAGAGGATATGCCCTGACCACCACAGCTGCCGCTGCCACCTGGCGTTGAGGGGCACATGTCGTGTTCCAGGGAATCGGAACCATCCACCGAGACCAGGCGTTGCTTGGCGTCACCCGTTCCGGCTGCTCCGCCTGCCTTTCCACCCGACGTAGCCGTCGAAGTGGACGAGTTGCGGCGATTCTTAGAGCACCACTTCCAGTCCGGATGCAGCTTGAAGTGCGCATCCTTCACGGAGCTGGCCAGTTCATGGTACTGCGCCTTCTGCTCTGGCTTCAGGGCGTACCACCACTCGCCCAGGATCTTGCTAACCGTACGATTGTCCTGATTCGGATGCTTCTTGTGCACCATCTTCCGGTGTTTCTTCGAAAAGATCATGAAGGCGTTCATGGGTCGCCGGATCTTCTTGTTCGGCGGCTGCCCAGCCGCTGCTCCTGCTGCCCCCGCCTGCTGTTGCTGCTGCTGCTGTTGTTGCTGCAGGGCGCTCAGGGATTGACTCCTCCGCTTGGCAGCCGATGTGGTTGGTGCACCGGCCACTCCATCGCTCGCATCATGGCACTCCTCCAGCTTGCGTATGTTGCTGTTGTGGGTGGGCAGGCGCATGGCCTGTTTCTTGCCATTGCTGCCTATCCCGGGCGTGGTGGCCTCGAAAACATCATCGTCCAGCTGATCGTCCGGCTCCTCCTGCTGCTGCTGCCTCAGACTGGCCACTGCGGCCGCTGCTGCTGCCGCTGCCTTGGCATCGTTCATGGAGCAGTTAAGCGGCTTGCCCGGCGAGCAGAGTGGAGCGGGCACAATCAGATGGTTGTTGTTGTGGTTCAGCGACATCTGCGGCGGCGACTGTTGCTGCTGCTGCTGCAGTTGTAGCTGCTGCTGTTGGTGCTGCTGAAGTTGCTGCTGCTGTTGCTGTTGCATCATTACCACGTTGTAACTGTTGGCCGAGGTTGTCAAGGTCGGAGTAGCCGGAGCTGGCGGCGCCTTGCTCATGGGCGTCATATGCGGCAGCAGCTTGAACCACTGCGCGTTGTAGCCTGCAAATAACGGAGGGGTAGGAATTAGGTTTCGCAAATAATAACTATAGTTACTCTATATACAAATAAAACAGAGGGGCTCTTAAAAATTTTAGTTTACAAAGCTATCCGTTTACAAACCGAAATTCTTTAGAAAAAGGTTAGAGTTATATAAAATATTTTGTTAGACTGTTCGAGATGGTACTGGAATAGGGGAATCATGTTCAAAGTTGGTATTCTACGTTTGTCTGAGAAATCCATAAACAAATTTTGTAATTTAAGGACTGGTTTATAGATCAATTAAATAGAAACTAATTTTAAATGTGAAATATTTTTTTTTGATATCACTGGGATCTTCTGGGTCTGAAGTGTAAATTTGAAATTTTTTATAAACATCATCATTGTCTTAACTTACCGTTTTTTGGCAGCATCTTCTCCTGACCCAAGGACGCCACTGTGGCTGCCGTTGAGGTGGGCGTGTTGGGCTGATGAAATGAAACCGTAGTGGGCGGCAGGGGCACTGTCAGCTGAGTGGCGTCCACGATCACGGGATGAAAGGTCTGGCCGCCGGACACCACCACATGCGGATGTTGCTGGTGCTGTTGTTGCTGCTGCTGCTGTTGATGTTGCTGCTGCTGTTGCTGGCTGCTGGAAATGCGTATAACGCTGGTGGCATGACCCACGCTGTTGTTGTTGCTGCTGCTGGTGGGTGGTGCCGATGGTGCTGGCAAACTGGCAGGTGGCGGCGGAGGCGGTTGGTGGTGGTGGTTCTGTTGCTGCTGCAGTTGGTGGTGCTGCGGCGGTGGGGCATGCATCACCAGCGAAACGGGTGTCGTTTGCGGCGGCAGTGGTTGAGTGCCAACCGTTGATGTTGCTGCCGTAGCAGCAACATGAGTATTGTTGCTGCTGCTGCTAGCTTCCCAGCCATTGTTGTTGTTGTTATTGTTGCTGCTGCTGTTGTTGTTGGCATTGTAGAGCACCGGACTGGGTGTTGTTTTCCACTTGGAGTCGAGCGGTACGGCCACAGGTTGCTGCTGTTGCTGTTGTTGTTGCTGCTGCTGCTGCTGCGACTGGTTGGCGATGGGCGTGAAAAAGTTCTGCCTGTGACTGGCGGACACATTAACCGGCGAATGGGCAATGGCATTTAGAGGAGAGGCTCCGGCGTGGTTCACAGGTGAGGTGTACGAGGGCGTGGCAGATCGAGAGCTGCTCAGCGATACTGAAAAATACGAAATAAAATATATGTTTTAAACACTGTTTTTATAGATTGTATGGTTATAATATGGCTATAATCCAGGGGCACTTTAAAAAGGCCTCTTTCTTTCGATCTTTTGGCATTACATAAGCACTGCAGATATAGTTTGGCCCCCAGCTCAAAGTCCTGGAACGCATTCATGACGTCCTCTCGCTCCTCTTGAGCATATTTCCAGGGAAATCTCTGCTTCGCCAACCGCTGCTTAAAATACACTTTTCTGCTTTCGTCTCCGAAATGTGTGTGAGTGTGTGTGTTTGGCTGTCTGTCACATTCGCTTTGTCCGCTGCATTCGCATCGCTTTGCTTTTTCCGTTCCTGCTCTTGGCTCTTCACTTTTCTCGTGCTCTTGACAGTTCCCACTTTTCAGCATAAATGCGGCGAGGCGATCGCCGATTCTTCAGAGCGACGTTCTTTCCAAGGGCAGCGGGCAGCGACGTCAGCAGCATAAATCGAGTGCCGAGCGCCGCCCGCTCTCTCTCTCTCTTACTCTCCCGCACTCTCTCTCGCGCTGCCATGTTTGTTTACCTGCCGTGTAGGTGAGCAGCACGAGCGACCGTGTGTGCGTGCCTGGGCCGCTCTCAAGTGCATTTTTTGTTTAGGTAAAAACGAATCAAAGGCAGGGCAAATAACAAGAAACGAGCTGAATAAAAGAAAAGAATCTGTTGCGCTTCGCACGCAGCCTCTGCCGACGTCGACGGCGGCGTCGGCTGCGCTGCCCTCGCTTTGTTTCGTCTCAAGTGGCTCTGCCGCAGCGATCGCGACGTCTTTTACCTTTGCAGGTGCTTAGGAATGCGTAGAGCAGGGGCGGGTACAAAGGGGATCGACGGTAAAGGGTCTTGGGGGTTAGAAGCCCTCCTCCTTTTTGGAAACTACAGATTTAGAAAGAATTTTTCTAAAGGTGGGTTTCAAAATATGGAATCCTGCTATCTTACAAAGTTTAAAAATTTGTTTGTAATAGAACACTGAGATCTTAAAGGAGAAATTTAAAGTTTAATTTTCAAACTGTCACTCTTAAATCTCTAGATTGGTTACAATTTTTGTTTTCTTTAAACGGACACGTTATATTGTGAAACTTGATGCTCGAAGGATTTGAAAATATCTAAAAGTGTCCGAAATTGTATGAAGAATTTTTAGTTTTTCTTTAAATAATAGTATTACAGCTTGAATTTGATTGAATTGAATAACTGAGCCATTTTTATGCAGTCTAAACAAAATGTTCTAGCGTCAGCAAATATTAAACAAAAGTCGCATATGACCTCTCCAGTCTAACTATCTCTAACCCTATCTTAACTCTAACAGTTAATAAGGTAAAAAAAAATAAAGTGACACCAAACAGGCCCCTACAATTTTTCCAAACCCCCTTTACTGAATCCTGCGTAAGCCACTGAATAAGCATCGCCCTTCGCCGCTGCCGCTGCGCAGTCGCTGCGTCTGGCGTGTAAATCACGCTGCGGTCACACTCTCAAGTGGCCAGCGGGTGGGAGTGGGAGCGGGAGGGCAGATCTCTCTCTCCGGCGGACAATGGAAACCTTGATTCGTTTTCGGGATCAAAATTGGAATCGGACACGACCTTTGCGCCGCAGCAGCGACACCTTTCATGAAAAGCGGCGGACAGGCGGACGGACAAACGACCTTTGTTGAGGTGTGTGAAAAATGGACAGGGGACGGGGAGGTAGAGGGGAGAAAGAAAGAACTACGGCGCTGCCACAATAAAACTTTATGATATGCATTTTATGGTGAATTGGAAATGCATCGGACCAGAAAACAAGAGATGAGAAAGGTATCGGTCGTCACGACTCGACCAAGTGCGCTAACCTTTTCCAGAATTTAGGTAAACTATGTACAAAGAGGATCTTAAATTACCGACTATTCAGAAGTTTACTCTATCCACAATCGTATATATTTATGTTTTACCTTTAACACTATTATTAAAAGGTTTGAGCTTACAGAACTTTTGAAATATGAAATTTTATGGGAGTTTACCCCAAGAAATTTCCTAGAAACCCGAAATGTTCTCAATCAAGTAATTAATATCGATTATATAATCTGCCAGTTTAAGAAAGAAGCCTCAATCATAAAAATATTTATTTTGAACCATAAAACCTTTATGCTTCGCTCAAGAAAAAACCTCTTTATTGGGCCGAATTTAATGTTCCAAAGGAGCTTGACAAGCCTTTTATTTTAGACCTGCTTTTTATGGACTTTTACGAGCACTTTTTTTCAGTGCCTAAGAAATCCGGTTCTGCTCTGAATGAAAGACCTTCGTGTCTTCTGCATTCCAAAGGAATACTTTAATGGGGGGCCTCTGTAAAAGGGGATTGGAGAAGAGATTCCCTCCGCCGCGTAGGGTGAACAAAAGTTCTTCTGCCCCGAACCCAAGTCAAAGAACATTTTTTCCAGAAGCGCCGTGAAGAATATCTTTCTAAGACCTCTTTGCCTGCTGGCCTTGTCTCTCTAATTGCGTGAAGCGGTATGGATTAACGGTTAAGCCGGCGCTGAGCAGGTCGAAAAGGGACGGCACGAGGGGCTGGGAAGGCCAGCCTTGAAATGAATTGCTGCAAACTATGAATAAATTGTTCGAACCGAGTTCCAAAACGGAATTTTAAATGCTTTTATGATGCCCTCGGCCCCTGGATCGTAAAGAGTCAAGAGGTGTGATGGTCGCACAGCACCATCACACAGAGACTTACCCAGCATGACGGCCGCGTCGGTCTCCTCCTGATCGTAGCGACCTTTGACCCGGTAGTTGGGCGACGTCTCCGAGTCGCGAGAGGTGTCCTCATCGATCTGCGTCTTGCTGCTCGATCGGCTGTCACTAATAAATGAGATACAATACCGATGGTTAGTCGAAAGTCAGTTAAGACATAAATCAAAATAATGCAGTTTCAGAGATTTTAAAAGATATATTTTTTAATCTTTCTTAAAAGTTTTGGTCTCAAAAAAGGTATACAATTTTGTCAATCTATTGCATTTTTATTTAAAAAGTATTTGAGTTTTGTTAAATGAAATTTCTTTACCATGGAGAATTTTAATTTTCTGTAATTAAGAATAATGTTTTCTAACGATCCGACCAAAAATTGTTGGTTTTAAAACTTGTGTTACGTTTAACCATGCGCGGATCCACGGGGGACTTGGGGGACAGATTCCCCCCACTCGGGTTAAAAGGTATGTATTTTCTTCACAATTATTTTATTTTTACTTAACAAATTTTGTTTATATCCCCTCATAACCAAATTCTGTATCCGCCACTGCTTTTAACTATTTGTAACATTTATTTACATTAACTTGAAATAAAGAACACATTTTAAATGCAGGTTTTCTTAGTATACGAATTTCTAACAATCCAAACGAATACATCTGCTTTCGTATTACATTCAACTAATATTACTTTTTATTTACATTTAATCAAAATAAACACTGTCTGGCTTAGAAATCAACCTATTTAAACATCAACACAAATGCATTTTATAAAATCTAATTTCAATTCAGGTGTTTTTGGTATACAAATTCTCATTTCTCTTCAACAAACATTAAATGAAATCTTAACCAACCTTAGGTCTTTTTGAAACTTTTTTTTTTACAAAGGAAATCCGATCTCTAATCATACATAGAGGTTAGGAGCAAATAAAATGGTTCAGAGAAAGATCAGGACTATAAGTTACCTGAGCAGGCGACCTGGACCCGTGGACGAGGGCAGGGCGCTGTTGTTGCCCTTCTGGTTGAGGTGCCGCGAGCAGAAGCCGCGCCGCTGAGATTCCTTGGCGCAGAGCATGCACAGGCGACGCCACTGCTTCCCGTTGTACTTCTTGCGCACGCCGGACTCCGACTCCACGATGTCTCCCTTCTTGAAGCGGTGCGGCGTGGTGGCCTGAGATCTGTGGATGGCACTGCCGGTTTATTAGCAAGCGGTAAAGGATAGGGTAGAAGTTATAAAAGACGGAATAGAATGACTATATAAACAGATGACTATTTTCTTTAATTTTTTAATGATATTAGTCCTTTCTTGATGCCTTATTTTAAATGTACAAGAGTAAAAACATAATTTATATAATATGGTTTACCCATTCTATTTTAAACTGCTACCATAATAATTTTTATTTTAATAATTCGACCATTATCAAACATTCACATCATTTAAGACTATATAAGTTACAGAAATTCAAAATTAAAGTTCCCTATTTAGTATAGCCTATTTACAATAGCACCCCCTCTCACCTTGGTGTTGCTGGATGAGATCGTGGTGTGAGCCTCTGGTCGAGGAGACTGGACGTGCTGCCGCGGCTCTGCATGCTGCTCCGCTTGCTGCAGGCGCTCATCTTCTCCGTGTCCAGGTCGCCGGCCGCCGGTGAGTACCCTATGCCGACCCTCTTGAGTTCGTCGTCCGAGTCATAGTCGTCGTAGCTCCGCGACGACTGCTGCTGCTGTTGCTGCTGCATCTTGAGGTGCTGCCCATTGCTGCCCGGGGAGATCACGATGTCCGGCAGGCCGTTGGTCTGCTGGGGGTGCGACTGTGCCGCCTGGCCCACTTGCTCCGCTCCGTGGGAAGGGCCGGCGAATTGGGGTCGCGTCTGGAAGGGCGACGTGGCCGTCGTCCGATAATACTCTTCTTGTTTCACCAGGTGCTGCTGCGGCTGCTGGTGGGTGGGAGTGGGTGGTGCCGTAGGCAGCTTGCCGTCGTAGCGGGTTGCCACGAAGGTCAATGGCGCGCCGGTGGCCGCCTTGGGGTAAACGATATTGCCACTGGGCACAGCCATCGCTTCGCCTGCTCCTGCTCCTCCTGCCGACACCTTCCGCTTGCCACTGGATGCGGAGGCACTTGCTCCACCCGAGGGCGTCAGTTCGTTGAGCTCATCCCACCACGGCGGCTGCAGGAGCCGCAGATCGGCACGACGCACTACCTTGGTGGTGGACTGCAAAGATCACACATTATAATTAAAATCAGATTACAATACAATGAAATCGTGTTCATTTTAATAATCATGAGCAATGGTATGTTGGTATAATAACAATGAAATCTTTTAATTTTTATTGTAATTTTCTGGGCTATCATAAAGAATCCTGGGCTTTGAACTTGGACTTTAGCAACAAATAATTTTCAAAACATCATAATTAGTTTAAGCTTAAATGAAACGATACATTTTGGAGAGTAATTTATGCTTCAATAGAATGTGCTTTCAATATGATCTGAGGGGTTCTTATTGCTTCCCAGACTATAAATTCCATTTACAACATAAATTCTAAAAATTCTCAAAGCATTCTGGTAGTTAGAATTAAATGTAGCCTACAAAATGTTTGCTTTACAGATACTTTTTGTTACATAAGAGCAATTTAATTTTGCATAGCTTTGTCAAACATAACCAGGTATATAAAAGAATTACTTTTAAAATGTAAAATACTATTTGTATAAGTTTTGGTAAGACAATCTAGCTAAATGTCCTCACCATCTCATCGCCGATCAGTTGCACACTATATTGCTTCGTGGCCTGGTTGATGTCGGTGATGATGCCCTCCACGTAGACGAAGCTGCCGGAGCCACGACCTTCGACCCGCTGGCGCACACAGACGCGGGCATCTAGGGTAATCTAATCGGTAAATAGAAAACGTCCTTAGAACGATTGACTACCGTATAAAGTTTAATTCTATCTACTTACATCCGCCATGGGCGGGCTGGCATCGAGTATCACATGATTGCGGCCCTGGTGCAACACGTCCGGATATAGCAGCAATCCCAAATCGGTGGAATCGAATTCCACGAGTATTGAGTCGGGAGACGCCTCCTGCACTTGGCGTATAATCCCTGGAGCATAGTGATTGTGGATTTTGGCTAGGACACGCGTGTTGTTCCACTCGCTGAGATCGAGCAGGGATTGCTGCTGTTGTTGTTGCTGCTGCTGCTGGTGTTGTTCCTGTACATGTTGCTGATTGTTTGAGTTAAAGCTAAAACGTTGTTGTTGCTGTTGCTGCTGCTGCTGCTGTTGGTAGTAGACGGCGGTTGTGGGCGTATGTGTGCGTTGTTGATGATTGATTGTGGCTGCGTGACTATTGTTGCCGCTGGCAACATGTTGCTTGTAAGTACTACCGCTCGCATGTTGCAGCGGGGATGCAATGATATTGCGTTGCTGCTGCTGCTGCTTGATATCGCTGCTACTGCTGTTGCTGCTGCTGTTGCTACTGTTGTTGCCGGCGCCTGCACCGCAACTCACGATCATGCGATGTAGCTGATTGCCGTTGGCCAAAGCATCGCTGTTGCCATTGGTATCGGCGGGTTTCTGCTGCTTCTGCAGACTCAGTTGCTGCTGCTGCTGCTGCTGGGTATGCTGCTCGGTCTTGTCCAGCTCGGCTGGATCGAACTTTCGCTTCTTGGGATGCTGCCGCGGCTGAGGTGGTTGCTGTTGCTGCTGTTGCTGAGGTGTGCTGGTTGCTGCTGTTGCTGTTGTTGTTGTCTGTAGGTGCGGCTGGAACAGCACATGTTGCTGGTGTTGCAGATGTTGCTGCTGCTGCTGCGTTGCTGTTGATTCAGCGGCTGCTGTTGTTGTTGCTGTTGGTATACCGGCGATTGTTGCTCCCGTTGCTGGTATCACCATTTTGTTGGCGGCAACAACAAAGACTTGTTGCTGCTGCTGCTGCTGCTGATGTTGCTGCTGTTGTTGTTTGTTTGTTATGACATAAGTCTCGGCTGCGGCAATCGCGGCTGCTGCTGCTCCATGTGTTGCTGTTGCAGTTGCATTGGCAGCGCTGAGCATCTTTGTTTTGGCAGCAACATGTGTGTGGCTTGTTTGCGGGGTGGAGGAGAGTGGGTCGGCTGTTGTTGTTGTATCCTTTTTGTAACCTTCAGCTGGCTAGTGTTGCTACTGCAACGGCGGTGACATCAGCAGCATCCTTCCTGCAATCGAAGCGAAAGGCGAGAAAATTTGTTAATTAAGTTGACAACAGAAAACCATTAAAATCAACGACGCCATCGTTGTCGATGTCATTTCATAATTAGTGTAATCCGCATCCGGACAACCCTGACATCCTGCCACGATCCGCAGGACTCGCAGAAACTCCGGCTCCCGGCGCCCGGCGACGTCGGTCGGCCCATAAAATTCAATCTCGCCCAACTATGGCCCTCTGTATCTGTATCTGTGTGGGAATTTGCGACAACGACAACGGAAACATTTTAATTTGCACAGACGTCCAGTGGTCTGGGTTGGCTTGTGGGCGTTGGGCGTGGCTGTAGCCGGCAGTAAAAAAAAATGAAGGGGTAAAATGAAATATAAATGACACTTGAAACATTTTATGCCAAAGCCACACAGACAGACGGCCGTACAGTTGCACAAAAAGTCAGAATCATCCAGCAACCACAAATACACAACGAATGGAGGCCCAATTGTAGAAGCAACTGCAGCAGCCTCGACTTTTGAAAGGGGTTAAAAGTAGCTCTTAACGGCTTACATATTCTCATAGCAACGAGTATTTCCGAAGAAACTTAATCATCTCATTACAATTGATTGACGGATTTACATTTCATTCAGTGGGTTGCAATCAAAAAGTGTTATTGGCATTTATTTGGCATTTCAGTGGCGAATAATGTTCTATATGCTATACATTACTAGGATTAATATAAAACTTAAATGGCAAGAAGTACTATATAAAGGAACTATAGCTAACTATACAAACTATTCAAAATATCTTAGAGCTAGCCTAACCTTTCCCCTCTTTAAGAAAAAAAGATAAGAATTGCTTAGAATTCCATAACTTAAACCCCGAACCAGCTTTTACCACAGTCTATCGTATTTCCCCATTTATTTTCATCCAATTTTTACCGTCTCCGCCCATTTTCGCTCTCAATTCATCAGGCTGACAAAAGTGTTGCATACTTCTGGGCATGATACGTATACGACCCATTGCCAGAGTTGCCACATCTCGGTGGCAGCTGCTGCAAATACGGCTTATCGCAGGAGCAACTTCTCCATTTCCATTCCCGTTCCCATTTTCCATCTGCATCATCCACGTCCATCTCTACATCGCCATATATATCCCCCGACTCAGGTCGCTTGTGTGTAGGCGTAATTGCGGGAAATGACTGCCACGCCCATTGTGGGCGAGCTCTTAAACCCATACACAGGTACTAGTACTACTATACCATGCAACACACACACACACAAGTACAGTGAAAACGAAGCTAAATTGAAGCAACGTAGCAACCAGGAATGAATAAAAAAAATAGGAAAAAACCTGCAGCCTTGGCCATATTGTTGTTGCAGTTAGTTGTTGCTGCTGCGCGGGACAAGTGCAATGATTGCTTTATTTTCCTCCCTTAACCATCTTTTTTCCCCGAGCTCGTTTTTCACAACTTTGCTTTTCATTACTGCGGCCAGGGCTTTCGCGCTTTCGGTTGCTAGGCTGCCAGCAGCGACTTGCAATTGTTAGGAAAAATCCACAAGGGCGGCGTTGCAGAGGCGAGAAGAAGACGCTGAAAGGTGGCAGACACGGTGTCTGGTACAGTTGTTGGGGCAAGCGTGGAAAATGCCAAGGTCCACTGCGAAAAGTAATCATTCAAAAAGTCCATTTCCATTAAAAAAAACCCATGGAAATCATTGGTGTGATAAGGTATTTGTTCCCAAGATTTGTATTTTTTCTTAAAATTTTTAAATACAAATATTATATTAAATGTTATTGATTTAACTATTACTTAAGAACATGAAATCTTGTAACAATACATAAAAATAATAAGTGTATGATCTAAAATTTTGAAAAATGTTGAATAAGGTTTGAAAAATATAATATTATAAGGAACCTTCAAAGAGCTCTTCCATTAGAACATCCACATGTTTCAATTTTAAGTGTTATTTTCTTTCGGCAATACTATTTTTCACAGTGTAATGGTCGACTTTTTGCAGAACGAAGAAAATTCCTCGTCAGTAAGCTGAACATGATGCCTCATATGAAGGTTGAGCCTCAGGATCTGGCCAAAAACTCGACTTGTGGCGTTAGCGAGTTGAGTTTGCGATTAGTTGGACACATGCTCATATGCACACACCATTACCCCCCAGCCACCCCATCACACACACACACACACAGTCACATCCGCACAACACAGTGGCAAGCTTATGCACATATTTATAAAGCTTTTATGTAAATAACTGCATATCTTTATATTTGTTCATGCGTTGCAGCATAGGGCGTGTGTGGGTGTGTGCTGCGTGCCTGTGTGTGTGTGTGTGTGCTCAGTCACAGAAAACGACATTAAAGGGGGTGAAGAGGGGGTGTAAAGAGGGGGAAGTAGAAGGAATGTTGCTACCGATGCGTGCCTAAGTAAATCTAACCATATCCACATCTCTTAACTTAACTTGGTTGGCTGGGAATCTGAATCTGGTGTGAGATTCACAGACTCAGACAGCCTGTAAAATGGGAAAGCTTTACTTTATGATTAGGAAACAGTAATATCAATGTTAATCTCAAGATCGCTAATAATTCAGTTCTTTAATATCATTTATAACATGGTTGGATCCTATTATTATTAAAATAAGACTTGTATATATTATAAAAACCTTTTAATGAATGATATAACTAACAGAATCTTTACTTATAATGTATGTTACTAATATAAACGCAATATGAAAACCTTTAAGTCTAAAAAGTATTGCCCTGTTTTAATTCTATTTACATAACTTTTAAGTGTATGTCATTTTCAGCAATTATAACTTGATTCACATGCTTAACAACAATAAAATCCTTTAATATCACCCTTTAGTTTAATAAACGATTATTATCCTTCATTGATGATTAACTTTTCTGAGGACGTACATCTGTTCAATTGCCAAACAATGGGATTTACTTGCAATTTAACTTGGAAAAAAAAAACAAAACCTTGCAATGCAATGTGAGCATTATTACAGTTATCTGTTTATTGTAGTCACCATTGCCAAAATTTCAACAATTTTCGGTTGCATTTGTGTGTGTGTTTGGGTGTTGGTGTGAGTGTCAGTGTGAGTGTGGCTGTTTCAATTGCCATCATTTCCATCTGCATTGTCTTTATTGTTGCCATTGTTGCTTTTTATGATGTGGTTCAGCAACTGCATTTGGCATGCATGTCAATTTCTTGTGCTCTCATTGCACTTGGTTTTTGCTGTTATTGTTTTAGTTAGTTATTGTTGGCTGCTGTTGTTAATTGGCATATTCAGTTTTATGATGCAAATACACACAGACACTAATACTAATACCTAAGCAATCGATCTCAATGCAGTCGTGCTAAATTGAATGCAAAACATGCGTGCGAACGAGATGACAAAGATGTATGTGTGTGTGCGATAGTATAGTGCATTTTTTACACAGAAAAAATTCGGAAGTATTGAAGAAGCTAATTACAAAACTAAAAATACATTTAGTTATGTTACATTTAGGGATCATAACAAGGCTACGGCTTAGGGATACCCGTTTTAAATCCCACATATATCCTATAAACAATTTAATTGGTAATTGTCAAAATGATATACACACGAATATCTATAAATAATATTAAAATTTCATTAAAATCAATAAACTGATCCTTAACCTAGCCCGTTGTTTTTTCTTTCTGTGTAAATTCGTTATGGATATGGAATAGAGTAATTAGAAGAGAGTTCCTTGAACCCTAACGGTCATTTGTTTTGGCGCCAAATCGAAAACGAAACGAAAAGTGTAGAACACACGAGCGAAGAAGAGAGCAAGCCGAAAAGTCCATGCAGAAAGTTAATCTCGCAATCACTCTTGTACTCCCTTCCTCCCCCCTCTCTCTATCCAACACCGCACTCACTCATTGTGCTGCTCCTCCTGGCCCCCATCTCTCTCTCTCACGCTCCCTCCCGCACTCATTGCACTTAGCAACGGTACAAACGCAGCAACTGCGCTGCCCACGTCGCTGCCCGGCTGCTGCAATGTCAGTAACCCCACTCGAGCGAAAGAGAGAGATGGAGATAGAGTGGGGGGAGTGGAGTGCAGTTAGCGTTGTGAATTTGTTTGCTGTGATTTTTCTGTGCATATTTTTTCCTGCCATTTTTACGTTGTATTTTATGCTGTTGCCAACTCGTCAACAGTCCTTCGCCCATTCTCCAAATCAACCTAAACCAAAAAAAAAAATCAAAAGTACGCTCTTAGTCATTCAAAGCAGGCAACAACAACAAAATAATGCAGCAGCATCAAGTGAGAGTGAGTTGTGCGCAGGGAGCAGCTCCACTGCATCCCCCTTCCCCATCCCCACTCGTCCTCTTCTCGTTCATCCCCTCCTCCTTTTCTCTCTCCAGGAAAATCCGAGAACGAGGAACGCCGAATGCCGCTCATTTGCGTAGAGTAAATGCAAACAACTCGTGCATTCGTCTCCCCTTCTCCAACTCCTCCCCTACCACCCTCTCTTCCGCCCACAACACGTACACACACGAGCTTGCGTACCCACACACGGGCACGCATGAATGCAATGTGCTGCAGCAGCGACAACAGCAACAACAGTAGCTGAGGATGATTTTACATGGGCGCGTGTAACAGTGATAAACACCAGTGGCCGCAAAAATAGACAACCCTAAATAGTTACAGTAACTCAATATTTCTTAAAAATATATAATGATATAAAAATTGATTTAGAAATATGAATGTGATCTTTTTCATAATGTCCAAGTAAATATTTCCTCTGCTTATATAATTTTATGAATACCAAATTTTCCCAAGATCAGCAAAAGTAACGCTGATAAGTATGCAACAAAAATGTTAAAATATATGAAAGCAAATAAAAGTTTATCAGAAATGATTTTTTAATTTGCCCCCTATAAAAAAATTTAAGGAAATTGGATATTTAAAGATCTGAAATTTTTTAAGGAAACCTACACCTGTAAATATACAAATAAAGTCAAAAACATTTACAAATTATAC